CCATCACACGCTTCGTGGCCCAACAGAGTTAGCTCCGCCGGAGGCTCCTGTGACAGCGCTCGCATGCGTCCCCCAGCCCATGTCGACACAGCCCATATACGCTTCGCGGGCCCACAGGAAGATCCGCCAAAGGCTCCTGTGGCAGCACTCGCATGCGTCCTATTAGGGCACACACCTCACACGCTTCGTGGCCCCACAGAGAGCTCCGCCGAAGGCTCCTGTGACAGCGCTCGCATGCGTCCCCAGCCCATTTCGACACACCCCTCACACGCTTAGTGGCCCCACAGGGAGCTTCGCCGAAGGCTCCTGTGACAGCGCTCGTATGCGTCCTCTGGCAAACCTTGGCACACCCCTCACACGCTTCGTTGTCCCACAGAGAGCTCCGCCGAAGGCTCCTGTGACAGCGCTCGCATGCGTCCAAAAACCCATTTCGACACACCCCTCACACGCTTCGTGGCCCTGCAAGGAGCTCAGCCGAAGGGTTATGTGGCAGCGCTCGCATGCGTCCCCAAACCAAGTTCGACACACCCCTCACACGCTTCGTGGCCCCACAGGGAGCTCCGCCCAAGCGTCCTGTGGTAGCGCTCGCATGCGTCCCCCAGCCCATTTCGACACACCCCTGACACCTTTTTCTGGCCCCACAGGGAGCTCCGCCGAAGCTCCTGTGGCAGCGCTCGCATGCGTCTCCCAGCCCATTTCGGCACACCCATCACACGCTTCGTGGCCCAACAGAGTTAGCTCCGCCGGAGGCTCCTGTGACAGCGCTCGCATGCGTCCCCCAGCCCATGTCGACACAGCCCATATACGCTTCGCGGGCCCACAGGAAGATCCGCCAAAGGCTCCTGTGGCAGCACTCGCATGCGTCCTATTAGGGCACACACCTCACACGCTTCGTGGCCCCACAGAGAGCTCCGCCGAAGGCTCCTGTGACAGCGCTCGCATGCGTCCCCAGCCCATTTCGACACACCCCTCACACGCTTAGTGGCCCCACAGGGAGCTTCGCCGAAGGCTCCTGTGACAGCGCTCGTATGCGTCCTCTGGCAAACCTTGGCACACCCCTCACACGCTTCGTTGTCCCACAGAGAGCTCCGCCGAAGGCTCCTGTGACAGCGCTCGCATGCGTCCAAAAACCCAT